CCTTCGGCTCAGGTCATGATCCTGGAGTCCCGGGATCGAGTCCCGCATCGGGCTCCCTGCTGTCAGCAGGGAGTCTGCTTCTCCCTCTGACCCTCGCCCCTCACGCTCTCTCTCTCTATCTCATTCTCTCTCTCAAATAAATAAATAAAATCTTTAAAAAGAAAAAAGAAAGAAAAAGATGTTCAGAAATTAACGTGGGGGTGCCTGGGGGGCTTAGTCAGTTGGGTGTCCGACTCTTGATCTCAGCTCAGGTCTTGATCTTAGGGTCATGAGTTCAAGCCCTGCATTGGGCTCCATGCTGGGCATGGAGCCTACTTGAAAAAAAAATCATGAAGTATGAACCCCACTTTTGCAGAGCATGCTCTTATCAAGACATTCAGATACTCTCTTTGATCATACCTGACTCCTCCAACCAAAGTCTAGTGTTTCTTCAAAACTTCTTTCCTACTTCAGGAAAAACTTTGACAACACCAAGATAGCACGGTGACAGGCACTTTACAAATGTTTTGTTAGAAACTAAACTGCCACAATCTACTCCAGACAATAACACATTTTTTAAAAACGTGTCAAATTTAATCTCATCTAATTTTATTTTTTTAAGGATTTTATTTATTTATTTGACACAGAGACAGAGAGCACAAGCAGAGGCAGAGACAGAGGGAGAACCAGGCTCTCCGCCGAGCAGGGAGCCCGATGTGGGCCTCGATCCCAGGACCCTGGGATCATGACCCGAGCCGAAGGCAGACGCTCAACCGACTGAGCCACCCAGGCGCCCCTATATCTAATTTTATAGCCCTGGAAACCCAGAGACTGGTACCAGCTCTGCCCCAAAGTAGCTCTATGGCTTGGGACACGTCACAGAACCCGTCTGGGCTTCAGCCTTTTCATCTAAAAATGAGGTTTTAACCTGGTGATGGTGTAGTTTTCTTCTAGCTCCAAAGTACTCAAATCCTAGGACTCTAAAAGTAACTTGCAGGGAGACGGGAGCTAGTTTACTCCTGACATTATCAAGTCATTCCTGAGGTAATCACATACTCCATCGTACCTCATAAGAAATCCTTTGGTAATGACTCAATTATTGTGACCTTTCTGAGAGAACATGGAGACAATTTCAGTTTATTTAGAAGCTACCACTTCGGTGTTGGGTGGCTTCCCTGGAGAACTTCTTTGTTCTTCTTGCCAGTATTTCCATAGCCCCTAGTTGAACAAGTACTTTAGTGATTTCTCATGAAGTCAGTGTGAAGTTAGTGCCTATTCAGAGAAGACCTATTCTGGTTTCTGGACCTTTAAGGTGTTTAGGATTTTAGGAAAGTAATGATGGAAGGAGAGGCTGATGGCCCACAGTGGGCTCTGGGTCCCGATAAGGGCCTGACTGCAGATCTCGGTGGTGCTGAATACTATTGCCTGGCTGCCTTCATCCCTCCAGAGAGCACCACGGAACACAACTAGCTGAGTCACGATGTGCAAGCAGCAGCAGAGGCCCTTCCTTCTCCCCTACCTTCAACTACAGTAAAGAGGTACTTTCACATCACCCACATGAGCTTTAACATTCTAGAACTAATTGCTCAGGCTTTTGGGTTTTAAGGACTTAGAAAATAAAAACATGAATGTTCTAAAGATTTATTTAAAAGATTCTGGAATCAAGAAAACATTCTGGATTCTAGGCCTACCCTATATTTGTGGAGTAGGTGGCCCTGGAATATAAAAAGGGATTCTAGCCTGTTCCTCACTTTTTTCCCCATGTGTGTATGTGGGTTACCATCCCAGGCTCTCTGTCATTCCTGCCCCCAGTCATGGGGACAGGTCTGTACAGGCCCTACCTAGCAATAGGCCCTGGTATATGGGCACCCAGTGAATTCTGGGGACCCAGGTAGCTGGAGGATGGTCAAGAAGTGGATTGGGTCCGGGCACCTGGGTGGCTCAGTTGTTGAGCATCTGCCTTCGGCTCAGGTCATGATCCCGGGGTCCTGGGATCGAGCCCCGCATTGGGCTCCCTGCTCAGCGGGAAGCCTGCTTCTCCCTCTCCCACTCCGCCTGCTTGTGTTCCCTCTCTCGCTGTGTCTCTCTGTCAAATAAATAAAATCTTTAAAAAAAAAAAAAGACAAATCCGTCTCTACTTCTAATAAACATCTAGTCAATATATAAGACACTAGTTCAGCTGTAATATATGCCCTGTTATATCTGATTCACTGTAATTCTCTGAACTTCTAGACTAGTTAGAGTCTCTTTTCCTGTTCTAGGTGTAAGATAACTCAGCTCAGTTACCTAGAGTCAAGGCAACGTCAAATATTAAGGCTGAGAGGGTGTTAAAGCTCTTCTAGCCTAATTCTATTATTTTTATTTTTTTAAAGATTTTATTTATTTGACAGCGAGAGACATAGTGAGAGAGGGAACACAAGCAGGGGGAGTGAGAGAGGGAGAAGCAGGCTTCCTGCCGAGCAGGGAGCCCGATGCAGGGCTCGATCCCAGGACCCTGGGATCATTACCTGAGCCGAAGGCAGACGCTTAACGACTAAGCCACCCAGGCGCCCCTAATTCTATTATTTTGAGATGAAGGGGTTATCTGTCTGGTCCAACACCTGCAGTTTGTGGCAGGTTCAAAAGCAAAACTTGGATTTCTGTACTCCTGGGAGGTGTCTAACAGCTTTTCCTATCTTCCTGATGACTTTTTAAATCAAAAGGCATTTCTCTTATTTTTCTGTACAAGAGGACGAGATTTATTTTGAATTGCTTTAAAGGGCCTAGTTAAAATGGAATGTAACATGCTGAATAAAAATACACCTTAATATACAGTCTGGTCTTGGGTGTCCTAGGTCAAAGGGATCATAGATTTAGGTCACTCACCACTAGAGGGCACTCAGATTTTCCCAGTTAAAGAGGCTTCCAGATAGAGCCTGTAAATGGAGTTGATGATGACGTTTTCTATCAATAGTAAAAGCTAAATGGCCATTTCCCCCAGATAGGCTGATGTCTAATGTATATACGTATATAGAAACATGTTATAATTAATATATATTTGTTATATTTGTTACTATTTTAGATTTAAGCCTGATATTTTCCCAAACGACTCTCATTTATTGCTTTCAAGCAGACTTTTGAAGTAAAAATTAACTTAAAAGTCTTGCCTCCAGAGCACTCACCCAAAGCCCAGTGGGCCCCTGCCAAAATCCACAGGCCTACAGTATTTGAAGCAAATAATGTTTGTTGCGGGGGGCGGGGGAGGGAGGCGCTTGCATACTTTGATTTAGAAGGGAGAAGAAAGAGAAGAAGAAGAGAGCTTTCTCTGTTATAAAAGTAAATGAATACAAGCCAGGCAACTCTTTAACCCTCTAGTTTATCATCCTTGAAGGCCTTATTCTGATCATGTGAGGGATTTCTGGAGATTTAGACCTGGAGCCATGAAAATCCATTCTCTCTAGGAGGACCAAGCACTTTCTGGCTGTGTTATTCAAATTCTGGAAAGGTCTAATCTATATACTTAAAAGAAATTACATTATTCTAACAGTTATTATCAACTACGACCATAGCATTGGCCTGTCTGAAAAATATAAGAATCTTAATAAGAATCATGTTTGTGAAAAAGGAGAGGGGTCTTTCTGCAAAGCTCCTGCACCTCCGACTATCTTGTCAGTTGTTGATGGATAATTAGCATTCTGGATTCTGCTGCATCCTTTTCCTGCCCCGTGGCACTTACCTGATCAGGACTACCCTGTGCTTTGCCAAGTACTGAGGAAAACCTGGCTCACAGCTTTGAAAAAGGATACATCTAATTCACTCTGGAAAAGAGAAAAAAGTACAAGGATGAGAATGAGACACTGGGGCACATGTTCTTAGCAGAGTTAGCAGCTGCTCTGGCCACAGGCTTGGGAGCAGGTCAGGGAGGCAGCTCTGTACATACAAGTCTGAGCAGGAAGGCCCTGGGTCTGGGACTGTGCTATTTATCAATCTATTTATTTATTTATTTATTTAGACTTATTTATGAGAGAGAGAATAAGAGAGACAGAGAGAGAGAGCATGCATGCGCACACATGAGTGGGGGGGAGGGGAAGAGGGAGAGAATTTCAAGCAAACTCTGCACTGAGCATGGAGCCTGATGCGGGCTTGATCTCATGACCCTGAGATCACGACCTGAGCTGAAACCAAGGGTCGGACACTGAACCCACTGCGCCACCCAGGCGCCCCCTGGACTGTGCTTCTTAAAAAAGGCTGCAGTTTGGAAGAATTTTGCCAACCAGTACAATTCATCCTTAGAACATAGACAGAATAAGGGCACCTAGGTGGCTCAGTCGTTAAGCGTCTGCCTTCGGCTCAGGTCATGATCCCAGGGTCCTGGGACCAAGCCCCGTGTTGGGCTCCCTGCTCTGCGGGGGGCCTGCTTCTCCCTCTCCCACTCGCCCTGCTTGTGTTCCCTCTCTCACTGTGTCTCTCTCTCTCTCTGTCAAATAAATAAATACAATCTTTAAAAAAAAAAAGAACATAGAGGGAATAGATGACCTCAACCTTTACAGATGATAGCTAGTTTGATATGTGTATCAAAAACCTTAATAATATGCATGCCCTTTGAATCCATCAGTTTTACTTCTAGAAGTTTATCCTGAGGAAATAATTAGATAACAGGACAACAATGTGTGATAGGATGTTAGGGTAATGTTTGTAGTAGCAAATTACTGAAAACAAGCTAAGTATCTATCAAGGGGGGACTAGTTAAATATATTATTGCAGATCCACAAATGAGGCTATAGATATATAAGTACTGACATTGCTAAGTAAAAAAGCAAGTTGTAACACGGAATATACACTATTATCCCACGGACAGTGGAATAGTTAGATACAGTTATATAGTTAGATACAGACAGATACATAAAGTCTAAAAGGAAATGTACCTAATAGTATGTATCAGTAAGTCATGGGCTTACTCACAATCTTCTCCCCTTTTTGCTTATATGTGTTTTCAATTTTTTTCAGTGATCAGAGATGTTTAGATCTTAAAAAAAATTATAGAGGGAGAAATAGTAAACAGAGTTAAATTCATATCTGAAAGGACTTAAGGTTTGTCAAGTGCAGCAATGACGACCCCAATCCTCAACAGCAACCATCCTCTCTTGCCCCCAGGGGACCTAACCGGGTTGGCTTTTTGTTTTGAAATGTGATGCTGAGATGCTTCTTTCAGCCCAGACAGCATGAGACTGATCTCCAAATTTAAGATTTGGAAACCAAGATTAAAAATAGTCTCAGCAAGAATGTTTAAAACTCACAAACCCAAAAATAAATCTTAGATGACAAGGCATTCTCCGAGTGGGACAGATTCTATTTTCTTTCCCATAGTACTCTCTTCCCTCCTTTGTCTCTTCTTTTTGCTACTGTCATCCTAAACTGAACCATCTCACAGTACTGTTGGGAGTCCTGTGTAGTCACCAGTTTAAATTAAATTCTAATCTTTACTTCTGTGGTTTATGTGGTCACTGACTCTTTCCCCAGAATTACAGCAAGAATTCAGCAACATGCTATTTATTCTCAGTCACCGAATATAATAATAATAATTTAAAAAACCTTAGCAATGATAGTGCTTGTACTCACTCATGATTATCTCAGGTTTAAAATATTGCTTTTTTGGGAAATGTTATTCTTCTTGATAGGTGTTCCCTTAAGATGGCTAATCATGGCCAGCTCTGAATCACAGACCCTGACTTGCAAACCAGTCTGTCTTAAGGGAGTGGTCACTGCAATTAAGCAGGAACCAGAGCTGTGCTGTCTGATACGGTAACCACCAGCACCACGTGGCGAATCAAATGAATTAAGATTAAATTCCTCATTTCCGCCTTTATACTAATCACGTTTCCATGTGGCTAGTGCCTCCTGCACTGGACGGCACAGGTACAGAACATTTCTGTGGTGGTGGAAAGTTCTACTGGGCAGTGCTCAGTTATGGCACTCTCTCCAAGCGATCAATACAAAGATAGAGTTTGAGGCCAGCCTTATTGTCCCCTGACAATAACTGATTTCGTGGTGGTTATGAAATAGTCTAAAATTGACTTTGCTGATGGCTGCACGACTGTGTGTAAATATGAAAACCTATACAGGTTAAATGGGTGAGTTTCGGGGTATGTAAATTCTATTTCATACAGCTGGGGGTTTTTTGTTTTGTTTTGTTTTTTAGAAAGGGGGCTGTTGGGAGGTGTCTGGGTGGCTCAGTCGGTTAAGCATCCGACTCTTGGTTTAGGTTCCGGTCATGATCTCAGGGTCATGAGATCGAGCCCCGTGTCAGGCTCTGCTCTCAGGGGGAGTCTGCTTGGGATTCTCTCTCTCCCCCTCTGCCCCTCTCCCCACTCTTGCATGCACACCCTCTCTCTCTCTCAGAGAGATAAATAAAATCTTTAAAAAGGGGGCTGTTGGAAAGGAACTCATGTATTCCTTCAGGGGAGTTGGTTTTGACCATCAAAGCAAAGGTGTGGATAGAAATGATTCCTAAACTAAAAAGGTTCCTAGTGCCTTAGGAAGGGAAACAGAAAAAAGAGAGAGAAAGAGAAAGTTCAATAGCCACGTCTCTTAATTAAAAGAAAGGCGTAAGAGGTTCTTAGGCTTGTAGAACTGGTTCTTTATAAAGATCTAAGGCACACAGTGGTTTGTAACACTTTGGGTGAGCCAGAAGGAAAGGGAAAGAAAATGTGGCATCATCTGAGTTTTAACTTTTACATGGGAAAGCTCTATATGAACACAGGTTCTTGATATAGACCATTTCTGGAAAACTGGGAGAAGGACATAAACCATTTCTTAGTCATTAGACTTACCACTCGGCTGAAGTACTCATCTAACACTTCCACAAAGTTATGGATGAATTCATAAATGGCCATCTCGTTCTGAAATAAAAAAGGAAGGGTACAATTAGTTTTAGTATGGCCCGTCTATAAATTAGACACTGACAAATATTCAGAATAGTTCTACGACTCACTTGTTTGAAAGAAGCTTACCCATAGAGGGAAAATCGAAAACCTTCACCTCTAAGACTTTTAAGTCCTTAATGAACTTAGCTGGACTGAAATCAGATCGAGTCTAGTGATTAGGGTTTTGAGTTCTGCTCCCTGACTTTATCATCAACTGGCTGAAACAGTGTTTCAGGTTCTTCATGCCACCAATTTTCCATTTGGGAAGATGGGAAACTACCTCTAGGTTTGGTTCACGGATAAAAAACAATCAACTGAAATTCTGAAGTATCTCAAATCTTAAATGCTTTTCATGGATTCAGTAGCCATAGGTTCTGTTGACCTGGGAATGACGTTTCTGGAAAGGTGAACTAAATCTGAGGAAATTCAGTCACAACACAATCATATTTATAGTTTGCTCTGGCTTCTGATCTGTCACCCTATATTTCATGCCACAACTGAATGACCTCTATACCTGTCTAAGCTGCCACACTGGGCCACACAGAACAAGGGCAGGACACTGGTATTGCCTAGGGTCGAGGAAAGCATTCTGTGGTTTTGTGCTTCCCCACAAGCCACTCATCTAATCCAAGAAAAATCCTAGATATTTTTCTTCCACACAGCTTTCCCTAGCCTTGATAGAAAAAAGATCCTTTAAGAGTCAAGATAATTCTTAGATAGGCAAGCAGAGAAGAAAATGTCAATTTAAGGAGGAATAAAAATCAGACTGTTGGGGTGCCTGGGTGGCTCAGTTGGTTAAGCGTCTGCCTTCGGCTCGGGTCATGATCCCAGGGTCCTGGGATCAAGCCCCGTGTCGGGCTCCCTGCTCTGCAGGAAGCCTGCTTCTCCCTCTGCCTGCTGCTCCCCCTGCTTGTGCTCTCTTTCTCTCTCTCTCTCTGTCAGATAAATAAATAAAATCTTTAAAAATTAAAAAAAAAATCAGACTGTCATTCCTAATTTTCTTGCATTTTCCATAGGCTCCTCTATTACCTTACCTCAGTGTCATTTACTCCAACCACAATGAAGAGAGCTGCATACTGTCGATATATCAGCTTAAAATCCTTAAATTCAATGAAAGAACACTAGAAAAAACACAATTAGATATTAATTCCTATGGTTGCCACGGATTTCTTCAAAATGGCCTGCATAATTTCTAGGTTCTGATTTCAGTATCGGTCAACACATTCCCAGAAATAGATAATATTAAAATGTTACACGATCTTGGTTGGTTGCCTGTTGGTTGCCTCCTCACAGTATTCGGGGGACTACCTGGAAGCAGCTCTACTGGGAGGCAGAGAAGGGGTCTAGGAAAAAAGGCTTGGAGCATCCACGTGGGTTCCCACCTGTTCCTTCTCATTCCTTTGCTTTGCTCTGTGTGGAAATCAGCAGGCAAAGGTACTGAATAATTTTAAACTGTCTCCAACATGAAAATAAGCCAACATGACAAAGAAGATTTTCTTCTTTGGGCACCTGGGTGGCTGTCATTAAGCTTCTGCCTTTGGCTCAGGTCATGATCCCAGGGTTCTGGGATCGAGCCCGGTATCGGGCTCCCTGCTCGGCAGGGAGCCTGCTTCTCCCTCTCCCGCTCCCCCTGCTTGTGTTCCCTCTCTCGCTGTCTCTCTCTCTCTGTCAAATAAATAAATAAAAATCTTAAAAAAAAAAAAAAAGATTTTCTTCTTTTCATCTCCCCTAGGCTCTGCTGGAAGCAATTAGAGATTTAGTTTTGTACTATTTATTTATTTATTTATCTATTTTTTTTAACCACCGACCAATATGGAATCTTTATTTTATTTTTTTAAGATTTTATTTATTTATTTGACAGAGAGAGACACAGCGAGAGAGGGAACACGAGCAGGGGCAGTGGGAGAGGGAGAAGCAGGCTTCCCGCTGAGCAGGGAGCCCGACGCGGGGCTCGATCCTGGGATCATGACCTGAGCCAAAGGCGGACGCTTAACGACTGAGCCACCCAGGCGCCCCCTTTTTTAAGGTAATTTCTATACATTTGGAGTATGAGAGTAATCCTTTTACAAATGGAACAGATTACTAGAATCGTACTATTTATTTTTTATTTTTTTTTAGATTTTTATTTATTCATTTGAGAGAGACAGAGAGAGCACAAACAGGGGGAGAGGAAGAGGGAGAAGGAGAAGCAGACTCTCCGCGGAGGAGGGAGCCCGATGCGGGGCTCGATCCCAGGACCCTGAGATCATAACCTGAGCCGAAGGCAGACGCTCAACTATCTGAGCCACCCAGGTGCCCCTAGTTTTGTACTATTTAATAGCCACTGAATAGCCAAATATACACAGCATACACACATGCAAAAAGAATCCTGATTTCTTTTTCCTAGACCCATGAAAAGAATCAATGTAGACTCTTATGAATTATTTAAAGTTTTGGCTTTTGTGGGGCAGATGCTAGACAAAATCTCCCATTGTAAACATTGCTTCCTATGAATTAACAACTAGTTTACCAGCACGGCCTGGTGGATAGAACAACTCCCTTCCCATTCATCTCTCTCCTACAGCCATTGTACAAAGGGGGCTGGGAAGGCACTGCGTAGACAGGAATCGGATAGCAGCCTAAAGGCGCAGTGCTGCCCTTCCTTTGGACTTCTGGGTGTGCTTGACCAAATATGATTGCGCATGAACTCTGGCTATTTGCACTGGGATAACTGCTCTTGGGTGCCCAGATACACCTGGAGATGAAGCTGTAAGTTTTAATTATGAAATTTCTTCCATGGGAAAGCCATTTGACCATCTATAAAATGGAGGGATTTGAGGCTCTTATTTAAAATGAGGATAAAGGTTAAGAAGTGCAGGACCACTCTGCATTTTTGGCTCACTGTAGAGCCAGTGTGATTTCTGCTCAGCTGGATCTTTCAAGGAAACACAATCTATCTGAAAGAACCGAAGAACATTTTTCAAAGCCTTTCAGGAGTTTCTGACAAAAAAAAAAAAAAGGAGCAAGCACCTTTGTGGATAAAATAAAAACTAAGCTGAGATTGTGTTACTTCAGTGCCTAATTATCCCAAAGCCCAGTGGATTCCTTTTAAAATCTAAAATAATTAAGGGGGCACCTGGGTGGCTCAGTCAGTTAAGCATCTGCCTTTAGCTCAGGTCATGATCCCAGGGTCCTGGGATCGAGCCCCTCGTTAGGGCTCCCTGCTCAGCGGGGAGTCTGCTTCTCCCTCTCCCTGCCCCTCCCCCTCACCTCACGCTCTCTCTCTTTCGCTTTCTCTCTCTCTCAAGTAAACAAATAAAATCTTAAAAAAAAAAAAGAATTCAGAATGCTTCAAAAATATCTAATAATATATTTGTTCCAAAGCATATATTTCAAAGGGTAACGTATCGTGAAGATGGTGTTTGAAACTATGCAGTGCCTGCCTTCTGCAGAAAGATTCAAGAAGAATGCTTCTGGAGGTTATCTTTATTTAAAGTATGTGACTATTAACACAGCACTTTAATAGTTCCTGTTTCCCTTTGACAACTACATGAAGCAATGTGTGCCATGGCAGGCCAAAGTAGTAATTCAAAGAGGACTCTGAGATGTTGAGACTGGAAAATCAATTTAGAAGCCAAGGGAAACATAGTTCCAACATGTAACTTCTGAGCACTGATGTACCTTAATATTTTAAGACCTAGCAGTGGTTCCCACAGGCTTTCTACATATGCTGTGAAATGGCGAACTGGCAAAATTAATGGGTGATTTAAACAATCTTTCTGGGGGCACCTGGGTGGCTCAGTCGTTAAGCTTCTGCCTTCAGCTCAGGTCATGATCCCAGGGTCCTGGGATCGAGCCCCGCATCGGGCTTCTTGCTCAGCAGGAAGCCTGCTTCTCCC